TCAATGGTTGTTGGTCTCGAGAGCAATCGTTCATGTACAAAAAGTCAATGTCTGATCCGCCCTGAATTACTTCCGACGTGATTATGGAAGTATTTCGGACTTGGTCATCATCTGCGGCATTCTCCCATGTGACCGTGGTCGTCCACCCTGCATTTCTCACTTGTCAGAAACCCAAATATCATCAGAGGATCTCGCTTATGAATCTATAGGGGATTCTTCATCGGAGTGAAGGAACGCGACTTACACATCATGTTCTGTTGTGGTAGTCCAAGCGGGTTGCCTCCCCTCGATTGCCCTTGCTGAACGAGACCTTTCGCGACGGCTTGCATCACAAATGTTTGAGTGGCACCTGTTTCATTGTATACTGCTGCTGCTGATTCGGCCCAGATTCGCCAGGCCTCCTTATAGATAGAAGCATCGACTTGTGTAACAGCAGAGCGATAGTCGTGCCTGATGCGAACAATCAAAATAGTCAGCTGGCAAGATCCTATTCGGGACGGACGCCAATTATATATCATACGCTCATACCTTCCATCTGCCGTAGCAGTGACCTCGCCAAGGAGCGTAGTCAGCTCACTCACTGTCCCATTGGTAGGCTCCACGGACACTTCCAGCACAGTGATGTTGTTAAAGGCCTCGAAGACATCTGGTCTTTGCACTTGAGGTGACGCGTAAATGAAGCCAACAGCAGCATAGCTTGTGGATATGACGACTGCAACATTGCCATCTGTGTCATTGCCACTATTAATTTGCCATGATGCGAAAGCGTCCATGACTTGTAGAATTTGGTCCACAGCATACAACACCAGTTCATACCAGATATTTCGTATGGGTATGGTGTATAAGTCGTAGCGCGTGACGATACCTGTCCTCAGATGATGACTCCATAAGTATATAGACGCAAAGCACTGCCTCAAGATGGTGATCTAGATATTCTTGTGATGCTTACCGAAGTTTGGACCACCTCCTTTGAGCGCCCAAAATAAATCCCAGTTGTCGGATGCGCTGGCTTCGATAAGGCTGCCATTTGCGAGCACAACCTGAAAGGTTCGGACATTGTCGGCGGCGAGGCCATAACGGCCTGAAAAGTGAAAATACCCTCCTGTATGAATTAGCGCAGTCTCATGATATGGGCCCCACTGCGAGATGCTAAGGTCCCTTGCGCACAAGGCATAGCACAGACTCACCACCGAGAATCAAGCCGCCAACTCCGACGGTTGGGTCACGGCCACCGATCACGCTGACGTTATAGGGGTCAAGAGTAGACTGGACTATTCCCCATCTTTGTCCTGGGCCAATACTTGCGACTGAGTAGTCATCGTTCACAGTGATCTGATCCAATCGAGCCAAATCGATGAGAATGCCAGAATCGGCTATGCTTGACCACCCAGGGTTTGGCGAGTGACCCCCACTACGCACGGAGAATTCGACTTGGTAATGCTGGATGATGGTCAAGATTGTGGCAACCTCTTCAGCCGAGCTTGGCTGAGCGATACATGTGGGTTTTAGCCAACATGCTTCCGACCTTAGGAAGGCATCAGTACCGTCGAAGGAAGAGGTATCATACGCATACCTACCAGTTAACGTCGACCGTAGTTTGATTTAAGGGTACCGTGTCGACCGAGGAGCTCCCCAATACAGCTTGAGCTTCTTGGCAGGCCAATGTAGCATTAATGACTCTGGTGTTCTGTGAGAAAGCCTCCCCGAAGCCATCTTTGTTGTATGTTGCGCTGCAGAAGCAGGGAAGGAGTACCAGTAAGCCCAATAGGCTGAGGCGAACTTGGAAAAGATCAACTCGATGGGCTAGACGTAAAACATGCATTATATTTGCGTGTGGCCAAAATTTGAATGCCTGGAGATTTATTGCATAGAATCTCAGTGAATCTTGTGATGGGTGCGTCTTTGTATTCTAATAATTCGATCATAATGGTCGACTCGCCATGCTACAGTACCCAGCTTCTAAGTCACAGTTGATGGCTTCAAGAAGAACCTAGGTAGGGCTCAGCACAGTGTGAGTGGAATATGTGGAATCCATATCAGCGAGAAGCTACTTGGGTCCGCAGTGAGGAGGAAGGAAGGATTTGATCCTCGTAATAAGGCCCCATGCAGTACCGAGGTAGTTATGCCGACGTTTCAATCGCAGCCCCACGCTATTCACACCAACACTATGCAGATACGGCTCAAAGGGCTTTTTTGTATAGATACTTGGTATAAAGAGGTGGGAGTGGAATGATACGTAAATGCCCCTAATCCTGAACATGTATCCGCTGTGCAGTCGCTCGTACAGGTCTCCACTTTGCTGCTGCTTTGGGCCTGCTCGGCAGTATGCCCGTTCAAGCCCCGTTGGCCCCCAACAGTCACGATAGAGTTACATCGCGCCTTTCTTCAGTAGGTAACTAGGTATGGCGTTCCAACGGGCGAAGGTTTTATCGCGCGTTCTTCTCTTGTACTCGGTACATTCTGCCCGTTGGATGCTTAGAGTACATGTTAGGCCAAACAAGCTGAGTTGCCAAGCAAATCCGATTGAATGAGCTTCTTCTTACTGAGGAGTTTATATTGAGCGCCGTTATGCCAGAGTCTATCAACTTCAACCTCGTTAGGCCTGAAAGTACGGCTTAGGGTCCCGGAATTAGCACAACTACCTAGTACAGTTCAATGCAACGCATTTGTGTCCGTTCTTGCCTGTTGCGCCCGACGGCCACCGTGTCGAGATGGCCTTTCATTAATGGAGCGTCACCGCGTATGCAAAGTTGAGCAGATTAGCAATATTGGTACTCTGCAGCGAAGATCTGCGGTGAAATTTTGTTCAAGGGCCCATAATACCACCAAGTGGAGTGCCTTCATGATGGCTGAAAGCCGGAAGCAGCGAGTGAGGTGATCCTTCGCAGTGTTCAGATGTGGGCCGAGTTCCTGAGAAGTCACCAGGGACACGTCTTGAACCGCTGGCTGAAAGAATCAGAGAACATGCATGTCCATTAAACAATCATGGCACAATCACATCTTTCTTGATTACTTATCACGACCGGGTGGTTTTGTGGTACATTGTCAGGGCGATCAAAGACTCTTGTTTGCTCCTTACAATGGACGAAATGTGAAGCTGGCGGAGCGGTCGCAAGCTTCAGATATTGATGATCGGGTTTGGTGAATTGTCATTATGCTCAAAGGATGCTCTAAAGGCTTGGAGTATGGTGTGAAGGAGCGTTTTGATGTTGTTAGTTAGATGGATAGACAGTTCGGGACGGTCCCGGACCGTCTATCTTGAGAATTAACAACATAAATGGATGGATCCTCATTCTCACGACCCAATTACACGTGCGTCCAATGGCTCAGCTCCAAACTGTTACCGAGCCACATGTGTTTGCAATATTGAGTCACACATAACAAGTAAGTGACGGCACCAATCATCGTCGTTATGTTACCGTCTATCCAGTATTCTAAAGAAGGACGTACAAACGCATTCGCCGCCCGAAGGGAAGCGCCGAGCTAAGTATGGACAGTCATTACTCGCGATGACTCGACAATGTTCAGAAATTGACACTGGCAGGCCAAATTTGTCGCCAGCTGCTCGTAACTTTGAAACTCTCAGCCATTTCCCCCTCCTATGCCGAGAATTTGTAAATTAGTAGCCCAGACGCCAGGACTCGTGCTACTTCTCCACCATGGGTGTCAGTTGTTTACACGTGGAGTTGTGGGGCCTGTGAACAACCTCCGTACAAAATGGCAAAGCTCAGCTCCTAAGGGCAAAATTGCTAGATATTTTCAAACCCATATTTTCATGAACCGAACACCGGCCAATTTACAGCCCCTTTGTGATGACTGAGCTGTAAGGCGTTCCTCTAACCGAGCACGCTTTATAGCGGGCGTTAGAGCAAAGCAGCCGCAACAGACGATCCTGTCAGCCATGATCTGTATCGAAAACACCTGAATGAGCTCTTCAGAACGACGTGGGAGATTCTGGCTTCCAAGGACAGGCTGCATTCATTCAATGCTAAAGGCATGATATGATTAACTTAGGTACTCCGAAGTGGCCGACCCGTGTTGCTACCTAGGCCAGGACTGTTCATCTCAAGAAGGAAGAACCAAAGCATGCGCTTGGCTTGGCATCAGCATAAAAGTGCCATGCTCTTTAGTGCAGGTTCTGTACCGTCCTCAATCCGTTGGACTGCGTAATTGGTACCATAAAGTCTCGTCCACAAATCGTATCTAAGTAGTACCTAGGTACTTAGAGCTCTGCTCCGTTCAGTATACTAGCATTGATCGGACTCTTGAACTAAGCCCTCATTTACTCGCGATTGCAGGACGCATCCAAACGCACGTTGATGGGTTTGCTTCCTACGCCTCTGTGAACGTATCGCCAAAGCACAGCGGTGGAGAGATGGGCGCTTACTGAAAGTACCCTAGGGTACCGGCAACCATCATGTCACATGCAGATGTCCATGCTTTGCACCCATTCTTATATATCGCACACTTCATCAGACCCAACGCGAAACTCTCACATTCTGGGCACCCGAACGGCAGTTTTATTAGGCAAGTACCCACTCATGTTAACTTTGGCTAAAGTGTTCAGCAGCCTTTGCAAAGTCCCGGTCACACAAAAGGTACCGACAACATTCATGCCACGTGATTTACAAAGCTAATCATCCCAACATGCTCAGTGTTATCTTGACCATGGACTGGAATAATGAATGATAACTTTACTTTTAGCAATGCTTGATTAGCAAAAGACTGTGTTCATGTTACTTCGTGGACAATAGGCAATAAGAACTGAAAGGTTTGATACAACGAGGTTGACAAGTGGCAGGCAAGTTTGTGAAGCGGCGGCGCGCTCCTTCCCGCTCCTTCCCGGTCCCGACCCACTAGCGCCCGCTGCGCGCCTCAACACAAGCAAATCCACCAAAAGGACCGCCTCAGCCATCCGGCGATGCCTTCATAAGTATAAGCATTGAGGGGGAAATAAAAAAAAAAGGAAAAAAAAAAAGAGGCGTAATCGCCGGGAATTGAGCCCGACGTGGGGGTCGAACCCACAACCTTGAGATTCAGGAATCGTGAGATCACTTAAGAGTCTCACGCTCTACCGATTGAGCTAGCCGGGCGCCTTGAAGGCGCTGTTGTTGGAAAGCTGTCAACAAAGATAGCCTATAAAGACATCAACGAGAAAAAGTCGACTGCGACAGTTGCAGCAGAAAGGGGTTCCCAGATTGACATGATCGGAGAGGCGGCCTCCGGCGAAGGCGAGTTGGGTGGATAAGCGAGCAGAAGGGTTAGTGGAGGTCTGTATACAACGAGGCTGAGAGGCCAGGCGTCGTTGAACGATTCAATCATCATGCGCCGGACCGGCGGCTGGCCGAGAGGTGTAAAGAGCATTCGCATTATGATCACAAGAACTCCGTTCCGGCTTGACGAAAGTCAGCGAATAGGTTTGCCCAGAGGAAATCCTAACACGAGATGCCACGGTTTCCTAAGCATGCCTAGCCCAATCAGGAGTCATCTCAGCTTGCAAGCTTGGTCTCGGGTTCGGCTGCCGATGGCATCGAGGCGCGCGGGCTTGTTCAAAGAGCCTCAAGGAGACGTAAGGTCGACTCGTTAGGGTTCATGGAGTTCCGGGATGCGCGCGTCGGTAGTTGTGGGGGAGGAAAGACATGACAAGGACAAGCACGTTCGAGACGGCGCGGGCGGCAGGTGGGTAGAAGGAGCCGGGCGCGCGCTCCAAGCCTCGCTCTAGTATTCCCACTTTGGGAACATTGGACGATTGCAAAAAAGATCCACAATCACAATCAGAATCGGGAACACCGTATGAATCAGCGCGTTCGTAATCGTGCGTTATGGGCTTGGGGCGTTGAAACACTGACAAGTGTACCGAGATGCAGAATACATTTATAATAAACCAGGGCAAGCCCCCCCGTACCCGAGTTGCAGTCTTTCAAGTTCTAAAAGAAATGTTTCTATCTCCTCATGGTCGTTTACATTTGGGCTGGGCACTGTCTTAGATATTCTCATACCCTTGCACCTGCTCGATACCACCCAGTGGTTCGCAAATTCGGTCGAAACAGAGTCGCATTATTACTACCCATACTAATAGTAAAGACATAATATGGCTACACTAGCAGACCTTGGGATTGACCACCCAATAACTGACCCAGAAGAGTGCTTCCTTGAGGCTCTCAGGCACCTCCGGCAACTGCGGTCGCCAGAAGTCAACAGCCGCAAAGCGGGACCCCACTCGCCGGGCCCGGCCCGGCCCTCAACAAGGGGCAGCATCACCAATGACGACTTCTTCCAGGACGGTCTTCATTCCCCGCGCAACATCAACAATCCCGTTGCTTGTTGCCGACGGTGCCAGCGCATAGCAAAATCCAGAACGACAAGGCCTCCTCGCCGTGCCTACCACAGTGACACTCCTCTCCTGAACACCTACGCAGCTTACCTTGCCAGCCACCGCACCGCTCTTATTGAGATCCTCCGTCTCATCCACGCACCCCGCAAGCCATCCGCCGTCGTGCCCTTCCCACAACCATGACTGATGGCACGCCAGATCCCACGGCGGGGCTTCCCGACCCGCCCACCGTCTCATTGCAGACTCTCGCCGTGACGGGCATCCTCGTCGATGTCTATGGGCTGAAGGAACTTCCCTCGCCCACCCTTACGCACGTCTCAGTGCTATGGCTGCACAACCCGCGCCTTGGTGACCGGACACGCATGGCGCCGATTGCGAAGAGGGTAGTGGCCGAGTATAACAAGCTCAGGCCGAGTGGAAGCACGCGGGGGCTGATTGCTGCTGCTTTTGGTACGTGGGAATTAATTTTCCTTCCTCGATGGGGGGGGCACTGTGATCTCACACATGCATTTTGCTAACCAACCATCAAACAGACCAACGGAATCATGGTTCTAGAGAAGTGCACCATCTCGCCAATTTAGCCTGGGTACTTGGACCCCCCCAAAACACCTGTATTCTTTGAATGCATCATGTCATTTGCTAACACTTCTACCCAAAAGAATAAATCAAATCCGACACACGCTCAAGACATGTTCGGCATTACAATCGGCACCGTCCTCGACACTCAACTGCTCATCACCGCACTACCAGGCTATCTCTTCCTCGACTCACTTGCCCGTGGCGCACCGCCACCTCCCGTCTTCGACCAGCACCTCGTCCTCGGCATCTCCTTAGGCGGCCATAGCACCTGGCAGACCCTCTTTACCAACCCAGCCGTCACCGCTGGCGTCAGCATCATTGGCTGCCCGGACTTCCTGCACCTGATGGCGGATCGTGCTGTGAAGAGCAAGCGTGCCTCAGCAGGTAAGGCATTTGTGGGGTCCGCCGACTTCCCGCCCGCGCTGGTCGCGCAATGCGCAAAGTTCGACCCGCGCGCGATCGTATTCGGTACGGGCCCGGTGGTCGAGTCGCCTGGCCAGGACGACCAGGCGCGGATCAAGACTGTGCTGGATAAGTCTGTGAAGGGGAAGCGATTCCTACTCTGCTCAGGAGGCGCAGATAAGCTAGTACCGTGGCGGTGCAGTGAGGCGTTCACCAATTTCTTCGTAGGCGCTGCCGAGGGATGGTACAAAGAGAGTGGGTTGAAAGTGGACAATCGGGTATATGACGGGATAGGCCATGAATGCAGTGATGGGATGGTTGTGGACGCAGTACGATTCTTGGTCAATGAGGTGATAGGAGCTGGGACGACAACAGCTGGTTCGAGAATATAGACGGGGCCTTGCCTGTAGTACCATGAAAAGATAAATTCAAGAACGCTCGGCCCTTCATCTCATCCCCATGGTCGCGGCCCGCCCTCTACCAAATACTCACCCCCATCTTCCTGAATCACCGTCTCAATGCCACTTCTCGCTCTTTCCAATTCATCCGAAAAAATCATCTCACTTACCACCCAGCAATTCCGCCTCGCCCTCTTTCCCTTTAGTTCGGCGCTGCGCCCCTGAGGATCCCGCTCCCACGCCTCGACTGCGCGCGCCTCGCTCGCTAGTACTTCGGGCCCTATGCCGGGCGGGTCGATACCGACAAACGCAACACGGTCCGGCGGAAAGCCAAGCGCGCGGATGCAGTGCACGTATGCGAGGCGCCGCTGTTTAAAGGCGTGACTGACGATGGTGAGGCGCGCGGGCCAGTGCATAGTAGTGCACCAAAAGGTCGTGAGGGAGTGCAGGATGTTTTGATACGAGTCTAGGGCGCGCTCTTCAGTAAGAATGCGTGGTGGTGGCTGAGAAGAGGCTATTTGGGGCGCAGGAAGAAGGCCCCAGTAGTCATTGGCGGCGGCTAGGTTGGCGTAGCTGCGCGCTTCGGACAGGCGCATTGACGGGCACGTTGGCCCACTGTGGCTCGCGATTAGTCCAGGGGTCTGGGCAGCTCGTATATGTGTGTGCCTTCTTTCCGCGAAGTAGTTTCTGGAAGGGGCTGCATGTGCACTCTGTGAGGATGCAGGTGTTGTGTGTTGGGCTCACCCGGAAAATACCAAGACGCCGCGATCGTCCTCGCTGAGCGCCTGCAAGCCCGCCTTGATATGGGCAGTGTAGGTCGGCGATTCCCCTTTTTTCCAGTCCTCAATGAGCCACTCTGATTCGTCTTGACCATTGGTAGGCCCGCCAGCCCAGATGGCGTGTCCGCACACAATAATAAGATGATTCGGGGGAGTCGTGGTGGTGGCCATGACTTGGAAGGGAGTGAGGCTGAAATGTAAGGATGTCTTATTCGGCTGCTAAAAACGTGTTGAGATCCAAAAGAAGTTTGAGCCAATCAGAGTCAAGCATATGACAGGGAGGTTGCGTGAGTGAGAGAGCTTATGGGCTTGCATTATTACTGCGCATGTACCGCAGGAGATCAGAGACCAGATACAAACTTCCTGCCACGACCACGGGCCCTCCCTTTTGAGGTGCGGTCTCAAGTGCCACTGTACCTATGTCCTCATCACTCTCGAAAGTAACAGCGCCGCATTTTTCTGCAGCAGCAAGAATTGCTCGGGGATCCTGTGGCCTCACCCACGGCATCCCATCGACCGGCCCGAATTGTACAGCTGTTACATCATCGTTGGGCTTGAGTAGAACCTCGAGTATCCCACTAACGTCTTTGCCCTCCGAAGCTGCGAGGACCCAGGTCACAGGGCGCTGATCTATGCGGAGGTGCTTGTTCACGTACCGGGCCAGGACTTCTGCGGACTGAACATTGTGGGCGCCGTCGAGGAGCACCTTGACACCATTGCGGTCAATCCTCTGCAGGCGTCCGGGAACGCGTGCCTCTTGGATGGCGGGAAGCACTTGCTCCAGAGAGTCGGTATCTTGTGGACAGGCAGAACGAAAGGCCTGAATAGCCGTGGTAATGTTCTGGATCTGATGTGGCTCAAAGGCCCGTCCACTGAGAGATTGGGTTTCTGTTTCATTTGGCGTCGTGAGAATGACTTCAGCCCCGACGGTCCAAGCATGTTTCTTGATCACATCCAGTACGGAGGGGATGTTGCTTGCATCAACGACACAGGGCACGCCGGTGCGCATGATGCCAGCCTTCTGGACAGCGATGTCCTCAACGGTGTTACCCAGGAGGAACTGGTGGTCCAGGCCGATTTTAGTAATGACCGTGACAGCCTTGTGCTTCAAGGCATTGGTGGCATCTAACGCGCCACCCATGCCCACCTCTATGACTCCAAATTCGACCTTCTCACGGTTCATAATTTCAAAGGCCGTAGCTGTGAGCAGCTCAAACTCGGAGGCGCCGATGCGTTCTCTCTGATCTCTCTCTTTGACCAATCGTTCCGTGTCGAGAAAGACCTTCTCGGACACGGGCTTCTCGTTGATAGTTATGCAGTCCCAGCGGTCAATAAAGTGAGGCGAATTGAAGATGGCGCAGGATCTTCCACTGGCGCGGAGCATGGCCGAGATGTAATTGCATGTCGAGCCCTTGCCGTTGGTGCCGGCGACGTGGATGGCCTTCCATGTCTGAGGGGTGTTCTGGAGGAGGCGAGTGATGCGAGACAGGCCGAGTTCGATCATTTTGACAGCGCAATTATCCTGGAACTATCTATGGAGCGTCCAGAGAAGCAGAGCGAATGGATCGTTAGTAACTCTCGTCGTGTCCGACAGCAGTTGC